TTYCYTTTTTTTWAAAAAAAAAAAAAAGTTCAGCAAAGCTAGATTGGATGAGGACAAATGTAGAGTTTAGAATTGTGCTACTACTGTTTTATGAACACTACATTTTTTGAAGAGTGTAATTCCTTTTATTTTTTTTTTTATTTATTGGCTGTGTATGCACTTCTTAGTCATATAAAGTCTATCAGACCTGGTAGACTGATTTTAATCCTCTATAAATAACAATTAGCCCTGATTCACCTTCTGTAAGGGCCAACAAAAGCACAGTGTCTCATCTCTAATGCAAGAGTTCAGGGTAGGTTTTCTTGTGCTGGCTCTTGGCACAAATGAGGCTCTCCCTGAAGTTCAAGCACAAATATTAAGCTTTATAACATGTAAATGCAAGGAACTYGTTGTGCAATTAACTCAAGCTGCTTTTGGGAGTGGAAATACTATGTTTAATTTCCTGCAGTTATGCTTTTTGCCATAAATGTAACATGGCATGAGAGAACCAGTGTCCTGTGACTCCTGRTGTTCTCATCCCTTCTCAATCAATTTCTCTCACAACAGCAGTATTTAATCTTGTTTTTACTTTTACAGAGTTAATCTAAAGAATAGATGTTTAGATGTAACTAAATTTCTCAAGAAAGTATTTTTATCAGCACAGGACAGGTTTGAGGACTTGGGCTAAATATAGATGGCTGTATTTTTATGAAGATTTTTATATTAAGTTGAGACTTATTTTATGTGATTGTAGGCCTGGGTATTTCTAAAAGGTAAATATTTTTGTACTCTTGAACCTTTCAGTATCCTAAAACCTGKTTTTCCTTTTTTAAATAAGAAAAAGGGTAGTGTTTTTTAAAATACCTTGTTTTAACCAGTCTCATTTTTCTTACTTATACCATTGATCTCAAGCTAGTGTCACATTTTAGTATTTTTTGCACCAGATGTAATAATCATTAAGAGGGGTGGAATGTCTTTCTTAAAAGTATGTGATGTTTTTATAAGGCYTTATGGTGTCTGAGTGTTGTGGAAATGAGGGAAGCCCCAGCTGGATTGTTCCCACTGATGCAGGACTGTGGCACTGTGCCTCGTCCTTCATCTCTGTCACCTTCACTGGGGTCTCTCGGTGCAACCTGTGATCCTCAGCTGGCTCACTGGATCTGCTAATGCCTATATGAAGCTGTAATAATTGTCAGTCATTGACTTCTGTCTTCATTGTAATAAAAATGTGCACTGACATTGTTTCACCTGCTTCCTGTGTGGGCTCTAATTGGAGAGCAAATCTCCCAACTTAAACACTCAGTGCCAAGAAGTTTGAAGAAGTAATTTGAAATGTATTTAGCATGGATCRGGTATGAAAATAAAATCCTAAAATAAGCTCTTCCACCAAGAAGTTCTTCCTCACAGGAAGACTATGAGGGTGTCATGCAGTTTTTCTGGCTTTCAGGTGGTTCAGTCCTGATCCTCTGAATCCTTGCAAGCTGATCCTGGCCAGGATCAAGGATGATTTTGGGTTTAACTTCTATTTTCCAATTCATTTTCCACCTTTGAGATTTTTCACAGCTGTATTATTCCAACCCAGGATAAAAGATCATTTTGAACACAAATGTTTAAAAAATGCTGTAAAAAACTTACTTTAAAAATCAGTTAGAGGTGGGGAAAAAAAAAAAACCACAAAAAGCCACTTGAAGACATAAATTAGCCTTACAGAGAGCAAGACCAGATTGCTGTAGTGACGCCATTCAGCTTT